ATTTCAAGTGATTTTTGAATTTTATTTATTATCTGATTATAGGTTATTTTTCTTCATTTTGCCCAAGATATACTCCTAGGGCTTTTACCGTTTTCTTTATGTATGGGGTGGTGGTGGTGGCAATCCAGAGTGATTCCCTCTCCAGTTAACTATTTTTAATATTTCTGTCTTATCATGATTAATTTTTTTACCCCGCTGCTTTACCAAAAAAATCGTATTCCTCCATCATGTAATTAAAGGAATTGGGGTTTCTTATAAAGTTTGTACAATCGTCCGCGTGTTGTAGCATTTTAAATTCGTCTTTCAAATTAGGTATATGTATTCCTTGTATTCTATAATTACTTCTTATCTTAATACTTAAGAGTTATATTGCTATTACATATAATAGCACAGACAGTGGGCAGCCTTGCCTCAATGATCTTTGTATTTCAAATTTTTCCGTGATCGCTCCGTTTTCCTGTATTCTGGCAGTTATATCATTATACAAAATTTTGGTCCAATTTCGGAAATTTTCTCCGAAACCAAATTTCTCTGATACTTTCTCTATGTAGTTTTGTTCAATTCTATCGAAAGCTTTTTCCTGATCAACTAGCATCATAGCGCCAGTCTTATTATTTGTTTTAAAATAATCAATTATAGTTTTAATACTTAAAACATTATTTTGTATATCCTTACCCTCTGACCCACAAGTTTGATTTTCATTGATAATATTACTTTCATGTCCCCTTCCTTAATTCCTTTCTTCTATAAATACTTTTTGCTAATGTATACAGATTTGAGAATTTCCCAGCCCTAATTTCATGACCATTATTTTTTCCTTTTTAATTTGTTTGAGCTTATTTTATAGTTCCTTCTTTGTCTCGTCGTTAAGATTCCAATTCAAATGTAATTTTATTTCTCGTTCATCCATGTTTCTTAATTCATTTATTCTTCTGGAATATTGTAAGGCCGTTAACTTAAATTTTTTTTTAAATATCCCACATGAATATTATATTTTTATGTTCTTTATCTAAAAACTCCTTTATCTCTCTCTAATTTCTGTTGCAAATTCTTCATTCTCTAAAATTCTTTTGTTCAATTTCCAAAAGTTTTTCCCCCATTTATCCCTATTTAAAATATTAATGTTTAAATTTATTAATTTATGATCTGATAAATTGATATTCGTTATATTTGATTCTTTATACATTTTATAATTAAAGTTATTACCATAAAACCTATCTAGACGACTTTCTAATTTATTTCCATATTCAAAAGTAAATTTCAATCTCGGTAAGTTTAATAGTCTAAAACTATCTTTTAATTTATGTTTATTTTAAACAAAAATTCCAATGCCCCATTTATTACCCTATCATTAGTTGTTAATGGCCCCGTTCTATCAATTTGATCTTCCACCCAATTTATGTCCCCACCGATAATAATATTTTCCATAGAGTATTTGCTTAAATATCTACCTAAATTATCAATAAAGTCAAATTTTTTGTATTTATTAGCCGGGAAATATAGATTTAAAAAGTGTGTTTCCTATTACAATATGTAGTAGTCTCCCCTTTAAAATTTCTCCCTCATTTTTTCTTTCCCACTTTATTTTATTGTTCCTAATTACTGTTGCTAATCCACTTTTACAATCTTCAGTTTTTGCCTCACTTTGGATTAACACACCATTTAGACCATTTTCTAATTGCGAAATTAATTCCTTATCAAAGCCGTTGTGAGTTTCTTGAATAAAAAATATCATACTCTGTTTCTTTACATAATTTACAAATGTTTTCCTTATTTATGCAATTGATATTAATCAAAGCTATTTTGAGGTTCATTTCCTCATTTTTCCCTTCAGGTTGCCGATACATTTTTGAAACTAAAAAATTTATCAAGTATTACTATGGTTATTAAGATTTATACTTATTATAAAAGTTTTCTTATTCATTCATTAATTGTTGCTATTATTTGTATCTTCATGAGTTGGAGAGGAATTCGACCTCATCCTCCTCCTCATCTACTTTACAAGATTCATTTGTTGTCTTTCCAGTCTCATTTTCATCCTGTTCTTTCATTTTCGTATCTATTTCCGTTTCCATTTCCGTTTCGGTTTCCGTTCCGTCACTTTCATCTTCATTTCCATTTCCATTTTCTTTAACATTATCCGAATTGGGTTTCGTTTCGTTTTCTGTTTCTGGTTTCTCATTTGCTTCTTCATTTCTCTGGTTTTTTGCTTTCTTCTTTTTTTTCTTTTTTTCTTTACTTTCCCTTTTCCATTTGCAGTGATGTTTCTGAGGATGTCTCAGTTAGTGTTTCTTTCTTTTGTGCCTTATTTTGGGTATAGGCATATAAATAAATGGCATGATCCCGGACAATTCTTTTTCCTCTTCAGGTTCGGATTCTTCTACTAAAGTAAAGAATTTATTCTTTTTCAAGAGATCCTCTTCTATTATTAGGCCTGTTGTATTGTTAATCATGGGACTAAAATATTTCTCCCATTGCTGTCCTTGCTCTGTCGTTGTATTGTCCTTATTATTCTCTTGTCCTTGCTCAGGTGAGCTCTGTTCTTCCTGTACAACTTCTATTTCGTCCTGTACATGTACTTGAACTCTGACGATTTCCTTAGTTTTATTCACCACATTGGCGTATGTGGGTTTTTGACCCTCAGCAGGATATTTGTGTCTGTAACCCTACAGTCCCGTGTAATATGGCCTACACATTTGCACCGGGGGCAAACTCTATCTAGTTCACACCCCTGGTATCAAGAATTGAGAAGAAATCCCATGAGATAACAAAAAATTGGGACACTTTTCGTATCTTCTCTCCTAACTGTGATCACCCTCACACCCGTTTAAACACTTGGAAAGCCCCAGACTGTTGCCAGCCTTTCAGCAACTACGCTTATTTTCATTTTCCTTTGTATCTTCTTGATCAATTTATCGTTATCTACTTCGAGAGGGAGTCTGGTTATGAAAATATCCGTTTTTCTTCCTCTATTTCTCTAGATATGGGTTTTGTCTGTCTAACGTTTGCTCTAATCCCTTTTACTATCAGGTGATCCTCTTTTATTAGTTGGGTATTTGAATCCTTTGAATAAATGATGTACTTATTTCTTCCTCCGTTTTGAAGAACGTATATCTTCTCTATGGGGTATCCTTGTACCCTCATAGCTGATAATACTTCTGCCTGCCTCGGACAGTTTTCGGCTTTCCCGAAGTCGATTTCCTGACATCCATCCGGGTGATAGGCATACAATGCCTTTCCTTCCGTCCTGATGGTGAAGAAATCTTTTAGTTTAGTACTTGGCTGGTTTAGGTCCAACTGCCATAACTGCCTGAGCCATCTGTTCTTTGTGGGTAGCACACTACTAACATGGTATCAGATTGCGGTCGCACACCACTATTGCAAAAACACTTTTTCCTCATGAATTTCTTAAAAAAAACCAAGCTGGTCAATCCCTTGCGAAATCGCCTCTATCAGTCACACATATTCAAAGTATATAAAGAAAATGTCAAAAGTTAACTAAATACAATTTTAAACAAGAAAATCCAAAAAGGTAAAGTTTCTGAAGTAGAATATCTCACCAGAACTCGAATACAAACACAAATAAACACATAGAAACACAAAAAAACAAAAAAAGTCACAATCACAATCACAATACAGTCACAAACAAAATGTCTGCTTTGTCAACGCCATTTTTAGACTTGACTTTAAATCTTAGTACTCTACTCTGTCGTAAACGACTTTTCTTATTTGCGGTCTGTTGACTCTGTTAAAGACCAATGTGATTAACATTGGCTTTGGAATAAAGATTGTTATCAAGTTAAATCCCAAGCAGTTATACAGAGGCAAATTCAAGGTCACTGATTATCGGTCTGAGGGCAGAATTTTTCGATAGTTTCTACGAGAGATCAGCTGTCATACGGATAATGTTTGATAGATTTCGTACATGATATTTTGTGTACAGATGAATATCGGTATGAACATGCTGAATGCCCACATGATGGATAGTGTGCAATCAGCAAATACATCGGAATTTCAACATTTAAGGCATAGAGGCAGATCGTTTATACAGATTTGGATTAAGACAGGTTCTAACATGAAGCCCCGAGCTAAGTCACATTTTTCTTGTTATTATGTGGTTTCCAGGACTGACGCAACATCCGGTTTGTTAGGTAAGACTTGAGCAAAGAGTGTCGTATAGTTGAAAATTTATAGACTGTCAATTTCTTCATAAAAATGTTATGATCAACAATATCTAAGACCTTATCAAAATGGTAAAGAAAACCTATTTATTTTATCGTAGTTAATATCCATTTGTCTGTTGATTTAGTCAGTGTTGAGATAGACGAGTGTTCATTAAGATAGTGAAACAAGTGGGTAGAAACGTTTTTGTCAATTATTCTTTTAATGACCGCAAGCTAGAAATAGTTCTATAATTTGATGTGTATTTTTGAGTCTACGTCTATAATGAGAATATCATTAACTTCGAGAAACATTTATTGAAGAGATCGGCGAGAGATGGAGCTGTAATATATACATAAAGATTTAATATTTGGGCATCTTTCATTAGTTACTCTTCTGAAATTTGACTTTGTATGACCTGCCTCAAGCGTTTCTTGTAATTACTACTGCTTCATTTGATAATTACTCCAATCGAATACGGGGTAGGTGAAGACACTGAAACTGTATTGAAGATGTCTCCTGGAATAATATTAACATAGCTCAAACATCATTGCATTTAAGATGGATATTGTTCTCAGTGTGCAGTTGATTATGCCAATTAACCCTGATAATAATGTGTTTGAATTACATTTCTCGTGTAATTTTAAATTATAAAGACGTTGGCAAACCTTCTGTAAACATTATTGGAACGTTGGTAAATATACCAACGTAGTATAAAAATAAACTCTGGGCTGATATGTGGAAGTTCAACTGCATATTTCCTCGTTAAAGACTTAATGCGGGTCAAGTTATATTGAAACACCAGTGCGTGTTCCGTGGTGAGCAGTAATAGTGTGGCAGCTCCAGTGGCCTAGTGGTTAGAGCGTCCGACTCAGATGCAGGAGGTCGCAAGTTCGAATCTGGCTGAGTCATACCAAAGATTTACAAAAATGGTGCTAACAGCTAGCTCTCTAGGCGATCAACATTAAGGTTAGTGTTAGGACTGGTTTACCTGGTGTTAGGATAATGTGACTTGGTGGGACATGATGCCACAACGCTATAAACTGCCACACTGCACAAATCGTAGCGATATGACTGAAAATTGTTAAGCTGCGTTAAAAATCCAACACACACACACACACACACACACACACACAGAGTAATTAGTATGAAAATGACGACAAACATTCGTTTGAATTTACGGTCCTAGCACCTGCATGCTAATTTTCTATATAAATGAATTAATATTCGCAATTATTTACTCTTTATAGTACGACTGTTCTTGAAAGAAATACATTGAGAGGATAGATTCGTTTGTTTAATTTTAAATCATTCATTGGAATTATTGTGCTGGGTCATTTACTTAAAGGATATTTTGGATAATAGTTGAGCGGAATTTCTGTGAACTCATTCAAGGACATTTGGATTAATAGTTATGTTAGAATTACTGTACTGGTCGGCCTGGTGTCAGGATAACATGATTGGGTGGGACATCAAGCCACGTGTCTGCGGCATTATGCGCCAGTTCTAGACATCACTATAAATGTGATGTGATTATGATTTTTAACGTAGCTTTAACAATTTTTCACAATAAATTGTTACACTGCAGACATTGTAGCGATATGACTGAAAATTATAAAAGCAACGTTAAAAATCCAAACACACACCATACGTGGTAAAGCTTCGACGTCTATTATAATTTGATTTTTAAGGACATGCATCATCACTTTTTTTTTGCGGGGGGGGGGGCGGGGACCAGACAGATCCGCCACCCACTTAGTCGAAGAAAAGTAAAGTATTTCACTTGTTTCTGTTTTCCCCAGGTGCGTTGTAATGTATTATCTTGTATAGATAATTTAGATAAAAAATTTATTTTTAGAGAATTTTTGACTGCGTATTCATTTTCCATAGTGTATATGAAGGATCGTTCATCCGACCAGGTTCCTATTACCTTCAAGGAGTCTTTCACCTTTTGCAAAATATTTTGTGACCTTTGTCAAGGTCTTCCAAGTCCTGTGTATGCTATATGTATTGTGCTATATTTTGTGTTTACTATATAGTGTTTTGTAAGGACGGCAGTAATATCAAATCAAGAGATATCCCAAGTTTTTCTGCATTGCCTGTACGTATATATATATATATATATATATATATATATATATATATATATATATATATATATATATATATATATATATATATATATATATATATATATATATATATATATGCCCACTTATCCGTGCATAGCATACACACCCACTTATACTTCACATTTTACATTCGTGCATATATGTGCATACATACTTATATATATTTTATTTATTTAAAACATTTTGTTTTTGATTTAGGTAATTTTGAATTTGGAAAGATTTTTTTAATTTATGTTTGAGAGTGAGACGGTGCACTAAATTTGAAAAAAGACCTATTGTTTTTTGTGATTTTTCGTTGTTCTGAGTCGTCTCTCACTCTTTGTACTTATAACTGTAAATTAATTGATAATTACAGAGGATTTTTGGTTACGTCATGCAGGTTACAACATTTCCTTTATTGATTTATGTCCCCCCTGCATTTGTCTGCATCCCAATCCTTTATAGCGCAGAAAACCGAAAAAGGGTCAAAATACCCTGAGAAAAACATTTTGTATTCGTTCCTGGTTAGTTGTTTGCTGTTAGTCCGGAGCACCATTGTTAATATCGTTTTCCTATTCCATTTGGTATGTATACTCTCTGTCCATGTGCTACACATAGATTTTTCGGAGGCGCTTTCACAGACCTGTCCACTTCGCGTGGCGGATTGTGGCATCAACACTTAAGTCTTGATTTTTTAAACCAAGGCACAGAACGACAACCGATACTAATTGTACAATCCCAGGTGGGCGGAGCTTAAGGTGTAGGGAATATTGCATTGAGAAATAAACCACAAAACTATCTGATTGGTTAGTTAACTCTTTACGTCATAGTGACATCCGCACCCAGAAGCGCTCAGAATTGTTTCTACAGCGACGAAGTGGAGTTTATAATAAATCCATCCAGTTTCTTTCCCCAGTTAATAGTATTGTAATAACATTGACTCAACCAAAAATAGACAAATTTCGACTACTATTCAACAGAGACGCACATTTATGAACTGTTATTTTTCAGGTTGGAAACAAATATCTGTCATGTATGTTTTTCACACTTTTATTGTCAATATTTAGACCTATCTCATGTTTTCTTTTTTCTCTCTCTCCATATTTATTATCTCTGGTCCGATTATGATCAGCAGAACTAAAAATGATGTAATCCTGTTGAGCCTCTAGTATTCGTTTCTATAACAAGCGAGAAGGCGCCATCAAGAATGCTTAATATAACAAGAAATAGACTTTATGTATTAAGCTTGTTTATCATTGGGTTTCCACATAAACCATGCAACGTTCAGTGAATGACGTTGCATGCCCTGTTGCTATTCGATATTTTTTGTGACCCATTCAGAACAATCAGCGACAAATGGTAAAGATTGTTAAGAAATACTCTTGAGTATATATAGTAATCTAACTGTTTATGTACGTTATTAGCTGTCATCAGAATACTAATTATGTCTGAGAACGAAGTAGAAATCTTGCATTGATCAGTGTTGATTGCAAACCAAATTAACTGGCGATCGAAATTTGGGTGCAACTTGTGTTACCAACATAAACAGCAAGCATGCCAGCACAACATAAAAATTCACCTCTGAATACTGACATAAACAAAAACAGAAAAATCAATATTCTTTCAAGGAAACTGACAATCATTAAAAGCATATGTTTAATGAATTTACGCTCTGTTGGACCGTTCTAATATGTTTCTACAGTAGCACGATCCATCTATGTTCGCTGTATAAATCCGAACAATAAATGTCATATCGAAAATAAAAATCTCATTTTTGTACTAGGACAGTAATTAGCTTGATAAAAATACAAAATCTTAATCAATATATGTACAATCTACATTTTCAAAACGTTACTGTATTCAGTTATGGAAAAGTTTCGCAACATATTTTTATCGGCGCAGTGTTATACTTGTTAACTATATCGACACAAAATGGAAAAACAAAATTATCCATATTGAGGGCTTGTTCCTTAAATACATTATTAAAAAAGTATACCTTTTTGAATAGACGGAGTAAAATATTTCACTTCCGAAGAGATACACATCGTATTGTTTGCTACTCGCTATAGTATAGTATAGTACGAGTGAAATATTTCCTTACATCAACCCCTAAAACATATAATCTATATCCTACCGTTAAACAATATGATACCCTTTCCTCCATTGCCGGATTTAGGACAAATGATGCTCTGTGCTAGTTAAGTTATGAGGCCCTTTACTTGGGCCTTGAAGGGAGTAGGCCTGGTAGGCCTACACAAGTAGTCAGGCATATATACTCAGAATCTTTAGGAAAAATAGGAACCAGTCTGGAAATGGATGAAGATAAATAAAATATACATGGGTTTGGCGTGCCTGGATTGGTTGATAATGAAAGTAAGATTTTAAGTTAAAATAATTTTTTGAGAGCTCACTGTAGATGTAACCGAAAAAAGAGACATTGGTTTTTCAGTCCTTTAACAGACTTAAGTTTGAAACACTCATTAATGAAATTACCAGGCTCTTTGGTGCGGAATTGAAGCACATATTTTTAACACACGTAGATCCAGAAACTACAAGGTTATACGGTTTTCTCTTCAACGAAGCTGTCATTTTGGATACATCTGTACTGATAAATATAGGTTTGACCATGAGCACTCAACAATTTATGCTACTAAAAAAATTTTGAATTCCATTTGGCGTAATGGTTACAGTAACTGCCTCGGATGCGGTAGGTATATGGTTATAACCCCGGTTGAGTCATATTAAAGACTTACAAAATTGGTACCAACAGCTGCCACACCTGCCTCGCTTGACGTTCAGCATTAAGAGGCTAGTGTTAGGCCTGGTCGGCCTGGTGTCAGGATAATATGACTGGGTGGGAGATCTTGCTACATGTCTGCGGCATGATTTTACAATGCTAGACATTACTATTAACTGCCACACTGCAGACATCGTTGTGATACGACTGAAAAATTGTTAAAGCTACGTTAAAAATCATAATTACATCACATCACTAAATTTTGAATACCATGATGTCTGCATATGTTTCCTATGGGAAATGAATTAGTACCGTGCGTCCTACACAAGGAAACGATTGGCTTCCATTTCCTCTCTCATTGCAGCTTAATACATCTATTGGATTTAAGAGCTCATCAAAGATATACTATTGATCAGTTTGCTTGGTGGATAACATCGTTAGTTGATCTCGAATAGCATTCGGCAAATCAGATTTGTGTCATCAATTCAATTTTTAAGGAATTAATGTGCCATTATCCATTATTAATTACGGAAGGATTTTTGAATTCCTGGTTTTATTATATTGTTATTATAAGTAATACAAAACACACAAAAAAACTTTATTTAAAGTCCGTCGTCTGCATAATATTCAAACAATTTGGTATAAATATTTTGGTGGCATAATGTGCATCGACATACATAATACTATTCCCATCGGTTGTTTGATAATGAAACACCATTGTGTATTGATTGGCTTGGCAGCGTTGAAGCAGGAGATACGTGCTCATCAGGGTAATTTCTCTTTCACAGTGAACTTGTCGCACTGATATCTCTGGAGTACTCCTGAATTTGGCACTCGAAGGACTAGCCATAAAATTAGGTTTAGCATAGATAATAGAAGATCGCTTTTTACAATTGTATTTATCGTATTGATGACTTTTGAGCACTCCCGATTTTGGTCCCCCAAAGAGCAGCCTAAGAAATAGACTTACCGTCGATAATGGGGACATCCATTAATTATGTCAGCAATTTTTAAAAACTCTTTACATCCCCTTCCCCTTGTCAACAACTGTTAAACTTTCAGT